ACGAGCTGCTAATTGTCCTTATTAGGATGATGGTCACCGTCCCCGTGACACTTTCATGATCCTTCCTTCAAAGGAAGATTACCCCGATTATTATGAGGTTATTCAAGAACCGATCGATTTAACCATTATCAAAGAGCGTATGGACTCCAATAAGGTGAGTTTCATTGCCTAACTTTCTCTTAAAGTTCTATTTTTTTCCCATAATCCCTTGGTTTTCGTTAGTATCCAACTCACCAAGCAATGGTAGCGGATTTGCGCCTCATGTTTAACAACGCTCGCCGTTATAACGAGGAGGATTCGCAAGTTTATCGTGACGCCGATACGTTGGATAGGGTAGTAAAAAAGCGGCTCAAGAGTCTCGGTCCTTATGCAAGCTGCCCTCAGGGGATACCTAGAAGTCCTGGCATTCGTTCATCGCAAGATCTTGCATCACCCTATGGTAATCTTGCTACAATCTCGCAGCACTCTGGTCCCACCACTTCACCTTTACAGCGCCTGATGTACGAAGTATTCCAGGCTGTGCGGGAATACCGTGACCCCATGGGCCGTCAACTCTCGACACCTTTCCTTCGTCTCCCCAGCAAGGCTGAACTTCCTACATACTATGAGTTTATAAAACGACCCATAGAAATGCAAGAAATTGCAAAGTTTCTCCTCCAAGGTGGTTACACCGAGTTTGAGGAATTTATGTCAGATATTTTCCTCATGTTTGACAACGCTTGTGCTTTCAATGAACCTGATTCTCAAATCTACAGGGACACTCTGGTGCTTCATCAAGTTGCATTAGCGAAGAGGAACATGCTTCTCTCAGCGGCTTTTTCCTCAGGAACTGTAATACCTGGGATGTCGCCCTCTAATGCACCGGATATTGTGCCGGGCGTTCGGCGACTTCTTACTAGCCTACATAATGCTATGCTCACCGCCTGCGATACTGATGGCCGGGGTTTGGTGGATTCGCTTATTGCTGGCGATGGAACAGAAACTTCGGTGACTTCGGCCACGGCGGCAAGGTTGGCGGCGCTTCACCGGAGTGTCGCAGCTGGTGCCTACAAGCGTTTAGATTGCCTGCAATCCGATTGGCTTGAGGTCCTTCGTCGAGCTCGTGTTGGCGAAGAGGAGGAGTGCATGGCAGCACTTTCTGAAATAGATGCGAAAAGCAATTTACCAACCCCACAGCAACGTCAAGACGCTGCAGAGCTTGCGAGGCGTTGGATCCGTCTACGCGATTCTATGTGCAGGCGTGCTCCATCCGGTAGCATTCTGAATGCACAATCATCGATGGCTGGGGAATCGAGTGGCAGCGAATCGGGGAGTAGCGGAACTCCTGGCATGTCACTTCCTACAGGATGGCATATAGTTAGCACCGCCATGAGCTACACTGAGGCTGTATTGGAGCGTGATCTCAAAGACGAGGCTACTCAACATGAACCGATGGTTTTCTCTGACGACGGAGAAGAAAAGTTGCCTCCGCTAGAGGAAGGGGAAAGTGAATTGCAGGTGAGGTGGTAAAGGCACTACATGAAGTGTAGTTTAAATTTTCAATTTACTTATATCTGTTTTCTTCTAGTCAGTTGAATCCAAAGGAAAAACATTCCGTGTAGGCGATTATGTTTACATTGAACCATTGCGTCAGGACGTAACACAATACCACATTGGTCGAATCACTCGAATCTCTGAGACTTTTGTCAAGTCAAAGGAAGGGGCGGAGAGCAGCAATAAAGTGGCTGAAACAACAGAGGTAAAAGTGCGATGTGCTATGTACATGCGTCCATCAGAGGCGAAACCGTCACGCCGAAGACGACTGCTGGCCGCTGAGGTTTTTCGCACTGCTGCTGGTGAGGTTGTACCCCCCAGCAAGCTCTCCGGTCACTGTCTTGTTATGCACATACCCCACTTCATTCGTAGTCGTCCTAAGGTCAGGCAAAATTAAGCTGTTTCAGCCCTTCATGCACCAAAGATGTCTTATTTCTCATTCTCGTTTTCAGAACATTGAGGAGCGTGACGTTTATGTGTGCGAATCGCAATACTCAATCACTAGCAACCTGTTTGCTAAAATACGGGTAGGTCATTGCCGAAAAAGTTTGTCTGGTCTTGGTTTTCATTATTTATGTATTGGTGCTTGCTTGAATATGTCTGTTACATCAAATACACTTTATAATCATAACCGAGGGTATCACCTTGCCATTTCGATCTAAAATCCTTACTGTTATGCAAAACAGTTCATTCTCACTTTACTATTGAACATCTATCCAAACGCCCACGTTAGCGGTGGGGAGCACCAACCCCTAGTGGTATTGAGCTTGAGGATCGTCAGTTGCCATTTGTACCTACTCGCCTGCCTCCAAGTGAACCGTTAGAAAGTGCCCTTGAGCAAGTCAACACGAACTCCTTCTCGTGCATGGCTTTTCCTTTACCAAGACATCCTCAGGTTAGTCTTGCCAGTCTACTTATCAATGAAGCCTTTGCCTGTTCTTAATCGAACTTCAGCGAAACTGTTTTTTATTTTATTGATCGTCAAATATAAATGCTGGTCGGGATGAGTAAATTTAAGGAACTCATTGAATGCGCAGTGCCAATTAAAGCTTG